GCTGCCTTTTCAGGGGAGATTCCAGCTTCTCCCATGGCACCATCTGTTGACAAAGGCCCCACTGCCATCACTAGCATAACCTCCTCCAGCCCTTCTGGCTCCCCAGATACAGCTACTTCATTGTTTCCTACAGCCTCTCTCATTCTCAAAGGCTCTCCTAATGCCATTCATCAACAGCCTTTGGTGGCCCAGATTCCTGCTTCTCCAGGAAGTGCAGACTTCAAAGAAACTCCTGTTTCTTCTGTTGGAACTATCCCACTTGTGATGACTAACCCGTCTCTAATTTCTGCAGTGCCTACTACCTTTGAGGTAGCTACTTGCATTTCTCCTCCAGTTTCATCCAGTCCTATACATAGTAAAGAGCCAACTTGTCCTACTGGTTTAGCTATGGCACCTGTGGCTCCCAAGGACCTTCCTATTCCTCAAGTAGTTACCACTTTGGAGATGCCAGTGTCTCCTCTGCCAGCTCCTAAAGACCTCAGAAATCTCCCTTCTTCAATATTGGCAAAGTTCCCAGCACAAAAAGATCTCCAAACTATACCTGCCCCTCCTGTAAAAGCCCCTGTTTCTCCAGCCCAGGACAGTCTTCCTACAGAGAAAGACCCTGCTCTACTACCAGTGACCCTGACAACCCCTAAAAATTTCCCCTCTCCCCAAAGTACATCATCATCTCTGGAGATAGCTCTTTCTCCTGAAGTCACACTAGCAAAGAAACACCTGGTAGAGCCTCTCCCTGTAGGTAAGTCAGCCAGTGCTACATCCTCTCCTGTGGATGTTCCCTCCCCAGTATCTGTAATCAGGTCAGATCCTTATGCTAGCCAGCATCTCAAAAGTGATTCCATCACGTCAACAGTGGCTACATTTCCTTTGGAAAGTGCTGACCCTGCTGGAGTGGGAGCTGTCTCCCTGGCTTCTAAAAACCGCCCAGCTGAGAGTTGCTCTGTGACTCCAGCTGTAACTTTAATCCCCCAGAATATTTCTACTTCTCTGGCTACTGTGACACTGGCTCCTGAAATTTCCAAGTCCATACCCCTTCCTTCTCATTCCCCAACTGGGACTCCTTCAAGTGCAAAGAAAGTTAATGATATTTCTCAAACCTCAGCATTGGCATCTGTGGCTTCCTCTCCTGGAAGAGGCCCAACTGAGAACCCAGGGACTTGTGTTACTCCATCTTCCAAAGGAGCTCAGACTTACCGAGCTGGCCCCCCAGCTCCTTTAGGGACTAGTGCGTCTCCTAAGACTAAAAAATCTCTACCAAAGAAGGGCTCTGCTAGCCCTGAGTCTCCTGTTAGTAATCTTTCACCCCTTGTTTCTACAGTTGAACCTTCCTTTGTCTCAGAGGCCAGTCAGTCTTCTCAGGGCCCTAAAACCTCACTAACTAAGAAGCATTCTCCCACTTGTCCATCTCTCAAAGGGGTCCCTGCTTCCTCAGCTTTAACTCCTCCCTCCCCCAAAGAGGTCTCAGTTATCCCAACTTCAGAAAGTATTCCATCCACCCCATTCTCTAAAGAAGTTCCTACTTCTCTATCTGTGACCCCTCCTTCCTCCAAAGAGGCCTCAGCATCTCCATCCTCAAAAGGGACCCCCACTTCCCCAGCTATGTCTCTGCCCTCCCTCAAAAAGGCCCCAACAACTCCAGCCCCCAAAGGAAGCTCAGCCACCCCACCCCAGAAAGAGTTCTCCACTCCCCTAGCTGTGATTTCTCCCACCCCTAAAGAGGCCTCAGCAACTCCATCCTCCAAAGGGACCCCCACTCCCCCAGCTGTGTCTCCTTCCTCACCCCAAAAGACCTCAGCAACTACAACCCCCAAAGGAGCCCCCACTGCCCCAGCTATGTCTCTTCCCTCCCCTAAAGGGGCATCAGCAACCCCATCCTCCAAAGGGGCCCCCACCCCCCAAGATGTGACGTCTCCCTCCCCAAAAAAGGTCCCAACCTCCAAAGGGGCCCCTTCTCCCCAAGATGTGACGTCTCCCTCCCCAAAAAAGGTCCCAGCAACTACAGCCCCCAAAGGAGCCCCAGCCACCTCAGCCTCCAAAAAGGGTCCTCCTCCCCCAGATGTGACTCTTCCCTCTCCCAAAGAGGCACCTGCAACCCCATCCTCCAAAGGGGCTCCCATAACTCCAGCTGTGTCTCCTCCCTCTCCTAAAAATGTCCCAGCGACTACAGCCTCCAAAGAGGTCCCTGCTCCCTCAGATGTGACTTCTTCCTCCCCCAAAAAAGTCCCAGCAACTACAGCCCCCAAAGGAGCCCCAGCCACCTCAGCCTCCAAAAGGGGTCCCCCTCCCCCAGATGTGACTCCTCCCTCTCCCAAAGAGGCCCTTACTCCCCCAGATGTGTCTCCTTCCTCTCTTAAAGAGGCACCTGCAACCCCATCCTCCAAAGTGGCTCCCATAGCTCCATCTGTGTCTCCTCCCTCTCCTAAAAATGTCCTAGCAACTACAGCCTCCAAAGGAGCCCCAGCCACCTCAGCCTCCAAAAGGGGCCCCCCTCCCCCAGATGTGACTCCTTCCAAAAAGGCCCCAATCACACCAGCCCCTAAAGGATCCATAGCCACCCCATCCCCTAAAGGGGCCCCAACTGCCCCAGATGTGACTCCATTTCCCAAAGAGGCCTCAACAGCCTTATCTTCCAAAGGGGCCCTTCCTCCCCCAGCTGTGTCTCCTCCCTCCCCAAAAAAGATCACAGCAACTACAGCCCCCAAAGGGGTTGCTACTTCCCCAGATGTGACTCCTCCCTCCCCAAAAAAGGTCCCAGCAACTATAGCCCCCAAAGGAGCCCCAGACACCCTGTCCTCCAGAGAAGGCCCCTCTCCCTCAGATGTGACTCCTCCTCTGTCCTCTAAGAAGGTCCAGGTAATTCCAGCCCCCAAAGGAGCCCCGGCTACCCCATCCTCCAAAGGAGACTTCCCTCCCCCAGAGGTAACTCCTCCCTCTCCCAAAGAGACCCCAGCCACCTCATCCTCCAAAGGGGCCCCTACTCCCTCAACTGTGTCTCTTTCCCCTAAAAAGGCCCCAGTAACTCCTGTCCTCAAAGGATCTCAAGCCACCCCATCCTCCAAAGGGGCCTCCACCCCTCTGGCTGTGACAACACCCTCCCCTAAAAAGTCCCCAGCAACTCCAGCCCCCAAAGGAGCCCCAGCTACTCCATCCCCTAAAAGAATCCCTACTCCTCCAGCTGTGACTTCTCCTCCCAAAGAGGCCCCAACAATAGCAGCCCCCAAAGAGGCTCCTACTCCCCCAGCTCTGACTCCTCCTCTCAAAAATGCCCCAGTAACTCCAGCCCCTAAAGAGGCCCCCTCTAGAGGGGTTTCCACTCCCCCAGCTATGACTCCTCACTTTCCCCAAAAGGTTTCAGCAACTCCAGCCCCGAAAGAGGCTTCTGCTCCCCTCCCTGTGACTCCTTCCTCTAAAAAGGTCCCAGTAACTCCAACCCCCAAAGAATCCTCTACTCCCCCAACTGTCATTCCTCCCTCCTCTAAAAAGGCCCCAGTTACTTCAGCCCCCAAAAAGGCCCCAGCAACTACATCCCCTAAAGGAGCCTCCACTCCCCCAACCCCAACTGTGATTTCTCCATCCCCTAGAAAGGCTTCAGCAAGTACAGTTTCCAGAGAGATCCCAGCAATCCCATCCTCTAAAGGGGTCCCCACTCCCACAGCTGTGACTCCTTCCTCCCCCAAAGAAGTCCCAGCAACCTCAGTCCCCAAAGAGACTGCTACTCTCCCACCTGTGACTCCTCCTGCCCCAGAAAAGGCCCCAGCAAGTACAGCCTCCAGAGAGACCCCAGCAACCCCATCCTCTAAAGGGGACCCCACTCCCACAGCTGTGACTCCTCCCTCCCCCAAAGAAGTCCCAGCAACCTCAGTCCCCAAAGAGACTGCTACTCTCCCACCTGTGACTCCTCCTGCCCCAGAAAACGCCCCAGCAAGTACAGCCTCCAGAGAGACCCCAGCAACCCCATCCTCTAAAGTGGTCCCCACTCCCACAGCTGTGACTCCTTCCTCCCCCAAAAAAGTCTCAGCAACCTCAGTCCCCAAAGAGACTGTTATTCTCTCACCTGTGACTCCTTCCTCTAAAGGGCCCCCCACTTCCTCTGCCATGACTCTTCCCTGCCCCAAAGACTTACCTACCGAACCAGTTTCAGTCATGTGTACCATGGGCACCATTGCTCCAGAAGCACCAAAAGAACTCCCAGCGAAGAAGGGCCTAACACCTCGTAAAGATATACTTGGTGCCCCAGTTCCAGAACATGCACCTGTCATCACAGCTTCTACTCAGAAAGGTCCAGCCGCCAAGAAGAGTTCTGCTGCTTCACCTCCTGTGTGCCCAGATACCTTAGCTAACAGTGATGCTAAAGGTCCCCATTCTACACTGGCTCCACCGATAGTCCCCACTCAGAAAGGCTCTTCAGTGACTGCAAAAGCCCTCCCTGATTCTCCCATGAAAGGCAAAGAATCTCTTAATTCCCCAAAGGGCTCCTTGCCGCCACCACCTCCTCATTCTAAGACATCTACCCCTCTAACAGCAGGTCCCTTGGAGAAGATCCTTCCTAAAGCTGGATCTGCATCTATCTCCCCAGCACTCACCCCACCAGTCTCTCTGCCTCCTGCTCCCTCCCCAGTTCCCCATCTGCTTCCTAAACAGCAATTTCTGCCTTCCTCACCTGGGCTGGTGCTGAAATCACCCTCTAAGCCCCCGGCCCCTGCTGATGAGGATGAGCTGCCACCTCTGATTCCCCCGGAACAAATCTCTGGGGGAGTGCCTTTCCAGTCGGTCCTCGTCAACATGCCCAGTCCCAAACCTACTGGGATCCCTGCCCCAACCCCCTCTGCCAAGCAGCCTGTTCTGAAGAACAACAAGGGTATTTGCCTTGGTTTGCCGTGTGCATGGTGTGTTGCCCACACCCCTCCTGGGGGCTGCCCACCAGAACTAACCCTAGGATGCGTGCTTTCTCTGATCTTACTGCTTGTGTTTGGATGTAGAACATAGAGTAATAGTTTTAAATGCAAGAGCTCTAGGAAAATGAAGCTGAATCTTGGTTTTCATTACCTCGGATAGTAACCTGTATATATCATGTATTGTGGTCCAGACTAAACACTGCCTCTGCCATCTTTTTTATTTTTTACCTAACTGATCTGACATTGAAAACCAAGAAAACTACCAGACCTTTAATTTGCTCTAATTCCTTTCACATCACTAACCTTGTCCCTGGGCCTGGCCTTTGCTAAAATACTGGGGAATCTGGGACTATTTGTATGTCTTTTCACTTCTTAGATTGGTAATGACCAGTTGCCCAGGAACTCTCTTTTCCTCAAAAACATAGAGACCTATTTTTCCTAGCCTGAGAATGGTGCAGGTGTATGCTTTTTTTCCTCAGTAGTTTTTATTAATGCTTGGCCTTTCTAGTAAGGAAAACTTAAAAGTATGTGAATTGTGTTTGCAAGAAATGGGGGGAGTCACAGGACAGTGTATTATAGGAAAAGTGACTATTAGAAGTAATAGGTTGATATTATTGAATCTTCAAGCCATGTTATACAGAACACTAGGGTGATTGGTTCAAAATAAGGCCAAGTGTGTGTGCACAACTGCTTCTGGCCTCTTCAACCCTCTTAAAAGAATGGAGGGAAACACCCTGCCTCTTCTGCTTCCACAGTGCAGTTCTATTAGGGTTTTTCCCCCCTTGGGATTATTGATTTTTTTCATTTCACTGGAGAGAGGAAGAGGGGGGGGGATGAAAAAGCAAGCCACCAGGTCTAGGACTCAAAGCACGGTGGGAGTTGGTCATGTGGGAGGCCAACACTTAACCATCACACTATCTACTGGCCCAATTCTGTTATTTTACACTTACATGTTTCTGGGATGATTGGGCTATTGTGTAAAATTTGGAGTTACATGGTCATTGATGTTTGTCTACGCCAAGAAATGAAGACATTGAGGGAAAGAAAGCAGTTATAGTACATAAACTACTCAGCTATATTTAGTGATTTACCTGTCATTTCTGGGGCTGTGTGTTTAATAGATGTGTTAAAATATATACTAGTTTGTGGTAAATTTAGGAGCCATCAAACTGGCTTCAGATAAATCAGTTGTTTTACATGTAATTTTGTGAGGTCTAACATAAGGCACTGATGGGGCAGGCCATGGTATGGTGCCTCTTTATAATCTCTAATAAAAACTGTTTTGTCATCTTAGGGTCTGGAACAGAATCTGACAGTGATGAATCAGTACCAGAGCTTGAAGAACAAGATTCCACACAGGCAACCACACAACAAGCCCAGGTGGGTGTGTGCTTGCTAACAGTTACAACAAGTATTTGTGTCAAAGAACATTATTATTTATGGGACCAGCAGTTAGCATAATGGCTGTGTCGCTGGACTCATGTGGTCAACCACGGTTTGAGTCCTGGACCCAGTGGCTTAAACCTCACGTTTAATATGCATGCCCAAGATCCCGAGAGGAGAATGGAGGAGAAGGGATTGTGGCGTGACCATCCCCCCTGGGGGGTGATTTCTCACTTTCTGTCTTTCTGTCTCTCTGTCTCTTTCTGGCAAGCGCACGCACCCTATAGCAAAAACTCCAAAAAAAGAAAAAGAAAAAGAAAGGGAATTGGGAACCAGCAGTTAGCATAATGGCTATGTCACTGGACTCCCATGTAGTTCACCGCGGTTCGCGTCCCGGACCGAGTGGCTTAAAACTCAGCGCCAGGTGCGTGTGCGTGCGTGCCCAAGATCCCGAGAGGAGAATGGAGGAGAAGGGATTGTGGCGTGACCATCCCCCCTGGGGGGTGATTTCTCGCTTTCTGTCTCTATGTCTCTCTCTGTCTGTCTGGCGAGCGCACGCGCCCTATAGCGAAAAATCTCTCAAAGAAAAAAAAGGAATTGTCATTATTTTTCATTTAACTTTATTTATTTATTTGACCAGAGAGGAACAGAGTGAGAGCGAAAGGGAAAGTGAGAAAGCAAGCCATCAGGTCTGGAACCCAAACCATGGACTGCCACATGGGAGTCCAGCACCCCTAACCACCATGCCACCTGATTGTCCCATGAACTTTCATAAAAGGAAAAAACGTGGATATTGTGGTATGCAGGTCTTGGGCTCCAGTTAACTCAACTGTTTTTTCTTCTTAGCTGGCAGCAGCAGCTGAAATCGATGAAGAACCAGTCAGTAAAGCAAAACAGAGTAGAAGTGAAAAAAAGGCACGGAAGGTAAGTTTTAAGTTATAAACAAGGGTTAAAGGATCTGATGAGGGACCAGCAGTTAGTGTAATGGCTATGTCACTGGACTCCCACGTAGTTGACCACGGTTCTCATCTCGGACCCAGTGGCTTAAAACTCAGGCCGGGTGCATGTACGTGCGTGCCCTAGATCCTGAGAGGAGAAGGGATTGCGGCGTGACCATCCCCCCTGGGGGGTGATTTCTCGCTTTCTGTCTCTCTCTGTCTGTCTGGAGAGCACACGCACCCTATAGCAAACCTCTCCCAAAAAAAAAAAAAGTAAAGGGTCTGATGAAGCAACCTGACAGGTGAAACACCTGCAGTGAAACTCTTAGTAGTAGAATCCTGTTTAATTAAAGTAGCAGAAGTTACTGTGGTAGAATACCTAGGAATTCTAAAACCAAATTCATTCTTAAAAAATTTTTGTTACCTGGGGAAAAGGCTTTGCTTTGGATGTGATATTATGTTCCATGCTTCCTAAAGATATTTCTACAAGAGGTATTGATAGGAAACCTGATGTTCATTTCTGTTCTTTAGGCTATGTCCAAACTGGGTCTTCGGCAGGTTACAGGGGTTACTAGAGTCACTATCCGGAAATCTAAGAATATCCTTTTTGTCATCACAAAACCAGATGTCTACAAGAGCCCAGCTTCAGATACCTACATAGTTTTTGGGGAGGCCAAGGTAAGTAAAGTTTTGGGGGTTGCTCTAGACCAAGGTATTCCAACTTCAACACTATGACACTTGGGATGAGATGATTCTTTGTTGTGGAAGGGCTATCCTGTGCATTATAAATGTTTAATGGCGTCATATCCATGGTAGTAAGCAAAAATGAATAGATAGATAGATAAATAAATAGATAGATACATGAATAAATAAATAAATCAGGCATTGCCAGATGTCCCCTAGGAAACATAATAGCTGAGAAAAACTACTCCAGACCAAAAGTACTTCTCTTTTTATAGTGAGGGTTTTGAAAAGATAGATAGTATTTACTACATATATATCACATGGTATATATATTTCTATATACTATCCTTTTACTACAAACTAATTTACTTACATGAATTTGTATTTTCTGCCCTGTAGATCGAGGATTTGTCTCAGCAAGCACAGCTAGCAGCTGCTGAGAAATTCAAAGTTCAAGGTGAAGCTGTCTCAAACATTCAAGAAAACACACAGACTCCAACTGTACAGGAGGAGAGTGAAGAGGAGGAGGTATACCAAAAAAAACTTTCATACTTTGAATCCTCTTTGTGTAACAATATGACAGTATTGGTGGATGGGTTCTATACTGTTTAAGGTTCTAAAACCTCATTGAGTTGAGTGCCTTTTGAATGACTTCTATTAAGAAACAGATTGGGAGCCCACAGGTTGTGAGGTGGTTAAGGGCACTAGACTCCCACACAGCTGACCGCAGTTCAAGTCCTGGAGCTAATGCGGTTCTCGTGCACGCAGGCATGCACATGCTCTCACGTGCGCGGTCCCTCTGGTTAAATTTAAGTAACTAAATAAATAATTTTTTAAAAAAATAAGAAATAGGTTGAAGAGATTCTGGCTTCAGAGGACTGTTGAAATTGTTGTCTTTGGGACCAGCAGGTGGTGTGGTGTGCAGGTGGCTTCCTGCAGTTCAAGTCCTGGACCTGGAGACTTGCTTTCTCGCTCTCCCTCTCTCTCTCTCTCTCACTCTGTCCCTCTCTGGTTAAATAGAAAGAAAAATAAATAATTCTTTTTAAAAAAAAAAGATAGAAATTGTTGTCTTTAATTTTGGGGGACTTTTTCCCTCTTTTAGGTTGATGAAACAGGTGTGGAAGTTAAGGACATAGAATTGGTCATGTCACAAGCAAATGTGTCAAGAGCAAAAGCAGTCCGAGCCCTGAAGAACAACAGTAATGATATTGTAAATGCTATTATGGTAAGTGTCCTGGGTTTTATTGCTGTACTCCCTCCACCTGAGCAAATGTGAGTGGCTTTATTTTCTCTGCTTAATATCAGCTAATTAGGAAACCTCATTCCAAGGTTTATTCTGAGTTGCAAACTGATTTCCCCCAGTTTGTTTGTAATTTATAAATAAGAATCTTTTATTCTCTTACAGGAATTAACAATGTAATCATCTGAAAAGGAGGACTTTTTTTCGTGTTCCAAAAGAATACTGCAGCCTGGTTTGAAATTTGTACTGTTTCTATCATTAATAAAGTTATGGCTTCTTGTTCGATGAACTAAGTGGGTGTTTGGTCTCATCCATAAAAACTCATGAAGCCTCTAGTAACTTATAAATGACTTTTTAAGAGAGGGATTTTTGCTATAGGACACATGCACTCGCCAGAGAGAGAGAGAAAGCGAGAAATAACTCTCCAGTGGAGATGTCCATATTACAATCCCTTCTTCATTTTCTTGGGATTTGCAGCACACATGCCCAGCGTTTGTTTTAAGCTGCTGGGTCCAGGACTTGAACCATAGTTGACTGAGAGTTCAGTGGCGTAATCTTTACACCATCTGCTGGTCCCAGTAAAAAAATTTTATTTTTATTATTTTTTATTTTACTTTTTTGGAGAAGTTTTTGCTACAGGGTGCATGTGCTTGCCAGAGAGACAGAAAGCGAGAAATCACCCCCCACCCCCGGGGGGATGGCCACACTGCAGTCCCTTCTCCATTCTCCTCTCAGGATCTTGCGCACGTGCCCAGCGTGAGTCTAAGCCACTGGGTCCAGTGACATAGCCATTATGCTAAGTGCTGATCCCAAGAAAAATAAATTTTAAATAGGTGACACGGTGATTGAGGCACTGGACTCCCACTTGGCTATGGTTCAGATTCTGGACCTGGCAAGCTTGTTTTCTCACTTTCTGTCTTTGTGTCTCTCTCGTGAGCACAAATTTAAAAATAGTAATAAATAGTAAAATAGTAATTCTTTTTTTCTTTTTTATTTTTTTTAAGGAAATACCATATTGGGGCCAACAGGTGGCATTGTGTTTGAGACAGTTTTAGTCCTGAACCTGGCTTGCTTTCTTGCTGCCGCCGCCCTGCCCCCCCCCCCATGTGTGCGCGCGTGTTTCTCTGGTGGATGCACATGCCCTCTAGCAACTTTCTCTTTCTGGTGAGCACACATGCCTTGTAGCAAATTTTTAAAAATAATAAATAAAATTAAATAATTATTTGGCGGGGGAGAAAATTCAGTATCGTGGATACAACTGGGCCTCCTGCATACCCTTCCTCACTCCTATTTTCTTTCCTTCCTCAGAGGTAATCACCACTGGGCCAGCCCAGTAACACAGTGGTTAAATGGGATGTATCAGGAGCCAGATCCCATGTGGTCACCTGTGCTTTGGATCTGTCTGGCAGATTAAAGAATTATTTTATTTAACTTTATTTAAATTTGACCAGAGAGAGAGAGAGAAACTGAAAAAGCAAGCCACCAGGTCCAGGACTCAAACTGTGGTCAGCTATGTAAGAGTCCAGCGTCTTCAATGATTCAATCCTTAGGGATGTTGAGTCTATGTAAGAGGGTCTTGGCTTTGAATCCCAAAATCTATTATGTGCAGGATTCTGACTGGCTGACCTACTAGATACTGTAACAGCATGAGGATCTATTATTATGAGTGCCTTCCCAGCACCTACCCTCCCCCCAAAGAAATCAGTGATTTTTTCAGAGTTTTTTATTTTATTTATTTATTATTATTATTGGAATTTATTTTTTTGGAGAGGTTTTTTTTTTGCTATAGGGCGCGTGTGCTCACCCGACAGACAGAGAGAGACATAGAGACAGAAAGTGAGAAATCACCCCCCAAGGGGGATGGTCACGCCACAATCCCTTCTCCATTCTCTTCTCCGGACCTTGGGCACGCACGCACACGCGCCCGGTGTGAGTTTAAGCCACCGGGTCCAGGACTCAAACTGTGGTCAACTACATGGGAGTCCAGTGACATAGCCATTACGCTAACTGCTGGTCCCTATTATTAGATTCTTTTTTTTTTTTTAATTTGACAAGTGAGTGAGAGGGGAAAAGTAAGAAAGCAAGCCACCAGAGCCAGGATTCAAACCATGGTCAGCCACATGGGAGTCTAGCACCTTCAAACCATGCCATACCTGTCAGCCCCCTAATAAACTTTAAATTTATTTATTTATTTATTGGGGATCAGCAGTTGGCGTGGTAATTCAAGGCACTGGACTTCCACATAGCCAACAGCAATTTGAGTCCCAGACCTGGTGGCTCCCTTTCTCACTTTCCCTCCCTATCTTTCTCTGTCTCTGATCAATAAAATCATTCTTTTTATTTATTTAGGGTCCAACAGGTGGCATGGTGGTTAAGGGCGCTAGACTACCACATGGCCAACCGTGGTTCAAGTCCAGACCTAAAGGCTTGCTTTCTCACTTTCTCTCACTCTATCCCTCTCTGATCAAATAAAAAAATAATGAAAATAAAATAGTTCTTTTATTTTTTAAGACAAAAGGAATTATTGGGAACCAGCAGTTAGCGTAATGGCTATGTCGCTGGACTCCCACGTAGTCGACCGCAGTTCGTGTCCCGGACCCGGTGGCTTAAAACTCACGCTGGGCGCGTGTGCGTGCGTGCCCAAGATCCCGAGAGGAGAATGGAGGAGAAGGGATGGCGGCGTGACCATCCCCCCTGGGGGGTGATTTCTCACTTTCTGTCTCTATGTCTCTCTGTCTGGCGAGCGCACGGCGCCCTACAGTGAAAATCTCTCCAAAAAAAAAAGACAAAAGGAATTATTTAATTCCATTTGTTATTATTTTTTTAATTTGATGAAAGAGACAAAGAGAAAAAAAGAAAGCAAAAGCCTCCAAGTCTGGAACTTAAACCACAGTTGGCCATGTGGGAATCTAGCACTTTTAACCACCACTCTTACCTGCTGGCTCCCAGTAAATAAACTTTTAAGAAAAGTTATGTATAATGCTTTTAACTTGTTTCCAAAGTTCATCAGTAGTAACGAACATTGCTCTGTTAATTTGCTTTCCAGTTCATGGTAGTCCAGTTTTTATCTACTTCAACAAATTAGCTGTTATCAAGGTCACCTAGTTGCTAATTCCAAAGGACATTATTCACAAATGGCTCATAGCATTCTTTTTTTTTTTTTTCTTTTTTTTTTTAAGAGATCTTTGTCCTAGGGTGCCTGAACTTGCCAGAGAGATAGTGAGGGAAAGTTAGAAATCACTGCAATACCTTTTCCATTCTGTTCTTGGGATCTTGGTTATGCACCAAGTGTGAGTTTAATGCCACCAGGTCCAGGACTCAAACCATGATCGACCATGCAGGAGTCCAGTGACATAACTGCTATACCATTTGTTGGCCCTACATCTTTTCAAATTATTTTCCTTGACACTATTCACTTGAGTTTCTTTCAAATCTGGTTAGGCTTCAGTTTAAAACTTGTTCCCACCTACATTTCCTGCTAATATAGCTAGTAATGACATAGCTATCCTTCAGTCACATAAAATAGACACCTGTGGGGCCAGCAGGCAGCATGGTGGTTGAAGTTGTTGGACTCCATATGGCTGACCACAGTTCTAGTCCTAGACCTGGCAGCCTTCTCTCTGTCTCTTTGGTCTTTTTTTTTTGAGTTTTTGAGTGGTTTTTGCTATAGGGCCGTGCACTCGCCAGAGAGAGACAGAGAGATAGAAAACGAGAAATTACCCCCCCAGGGGGATGGCCACGCCACAATCCATTCTCCTCTCAGAATCCTGGGCACGCATGCCTGGCATGAGTTTAAACCACCGGGGTCCGGGACTTGAACCGTGGTCAGCTACATGGGAGTCCATCAATATAGCCATTACTCCAACTGCTGGTCCCTCTTTGGTCAATTTAAATGAATAAATAAAGCTAAATAAAATAATTTTTAAGACACAATTTCATTCTTTTTTAGAAATTTTTATGTTAAAATTGTGGGGCCAACAGGTGGCATGGTAGTTAAGGTGCTGGACTCCCAAATGGCTGACCACGGTTTGAGTCCTGGATCTGGCAGCTTCCTTTCTCTCCCTTTCTCTCTGTCCCTCTCTGGTCAAATTAAAAAATAATAAATAGAATTAAATAATTATTTTTTAATAAAATAAAAATTTTTATTTAGGGAACAACAGATGACATAGTGGTTAACATCACTGGACTCCCACATTGCCTTACCGCAGTTTAAGTCCCAGACTTAGGTGGCTTAAAAATGACACCAGGTACACATGCGTGTGTGTTTCTGTGCAAGATCCTGGGAGGAGAAGGAATTGTGACTTGGCCATCCCTGGGACGGGGGTGGATGATTTCTCGTTCTCCCTCTCATTTTCTGGCTCCGGTGAATGTTCACACCCTATGACAAGAACCTCTACAAAAGAAAGTGTGGTTTTGGAGAGGTTTTTGCTATAGGGCGGGTGTACTCACCAGAAAGACAGAAAATGAGAAATCCACCCCCCCAGGGGGGGATGACCACGCCACAATCCTTCATTCTCCTCTCGGGATCTTGGACACACATGCGCCTGGCCGTGCGCGTGGCGTGAGTTAAAGCCACCAGGTCCAGGACTAGAACCGCGGTCAACTACATGGGAGTCGAGCAACCCAGCCATTACATGAACTGCTGGTCCCAGGAAAAAAAATTTTTAAAAGAGATTTTTGCTATAGGGTTCATGTACTCACCAGAAAGTAGAGAGTGAGAAATCACCCCCCAAGGGTGGTGGCTACAACACAATCCCTTCTCTTAGAATTTTGGGGACATATGCATACACATAGTGAGTTTCATATTACCAGGTTCAAGACAAACCGTGGTCCAGCCATGTGAGAGTCCAGCACCTTAACTGCTACACCACCTGCTGGCCCCGTCATTTTTTTATAATTTCACTAGAGTCAGAGTCAGAGGGATAGTGAGAAAGCCACCAAGTCCAGGGCTCAAACCAGTTAGCCATGTGGGACTCCAGCACCTCAACCACCACACTACCTGCTGGCCCCAAAATACTCTTAACAGTGGTATTGGGACCAGCAGGTGGCATGATGATTGAGGGCGCTGGACTTCCACATGGCCAACCATGGTTCAAGGCCAAGACCTGGTGGCTTGCTTTCTCACTTTCTCTCAAATTAAAAAATTATTATCATTAAAAGAAAAAAAGGTGTTGGGGAACCTGGATAGTCACATGCAAAGCATTATCTTAAACCATCTATACAAAAACTAAAATAGAGAGGAACCAGCAGATGACATAGTGGTTACATCACTGGACTCTCAGGTGACACGGTT